ATTCTGACCACTGGCATAGATAGCTTCGACTTGCCAGTGCTCTCAAAAATACAAACCATTATTTTGCACATCTACTCACAGAGGAATTACTGTATTCATATGATATGCGTTTTCAAGAGACTACTTACCCATTATTCTTTAAAAAGATGAAGATGTCTTTGCGCTTACTCCTCCGAAGAAGCCCCCCGTTCTAGATACAGAAAAAGTAATAAAGCATTCAATGAGCACAACAGCTGCAATCTAAAATTACCAGCACTTTGAAATGTCATTAATAGTTTGAATTCTGAAATGACATAGGAACCACTGTAATTTAAATTAAGGCTTAAGAACAACGTTATAAGCATTGCTACTGAAGCCCAAACTTATCGTTTTTTTGTCTTAAAAGGGCCTGTTTTTTTATATGGAAGATACGTTCACTTTCCAAGCTGTTAGATATGTGACACACCGCAAGCTCCACAGTGCCTTACAGGAGAGTCAGTGCAGATTGGATGAGTGGCCTGTCTCTCACTGATGTCAATGCCTTTAGGCACTTAGCAAATCAGGCTTGACAGAACAATCCCAGCCTTACTATGAACTCACTCTGTCACGTGTCCAAAGTAAATTAATTGCAAATTAATTTGCAGACTTGCTAGTGTTGGTCAAGGGCAGTTTAAAGCACTCTTCAGTGTTTTCTTGGTATGACAGCAGTCAATCCCAGTGAAGAAGAAAGTGACACTGCTACTGTATTGAGGAAACGAGTAACTACAATGGCAGAATCCATCTTTTGTCCCCTTTGTTGTAAGAAGTGTTAACGAGACATGGATCCCTCTTAAAACGTCCGAGATGATCTTGTTACCCCTTAAGAAGCAGTGACTTCAACATGCCCCCATGAGAACAGTAATGACTTCTCCACAATGCAAAAAAAAAAACCCTGCCTCACTGCTCTTGTTTTCTTATTACATTCGTATGACTCTTGCAATCACCAGCTTGTGTGTTGTTCTCATCTCCCATCTACAAATCTCAAGACCACACATGAAGGAGAACGAGGAAGTAGTATGGGAGACTCCTGCGACCCACCCATCTTCGAGCCAGTCATCTTTTGACCAGCTGCGGACCGCAGGCTCAGAGCCGACTGGAGGAGAGACGTGTAGGCTGCAGGGGTTGCAGTGGCTAACTATACCCTTAGAACTGCACCCTTCCAGGCTCGAACCTGTGTCCGGATCATAGCTCAACCTGCTCTTGACTGAGTACCTTTCCTGGTTGAGCCATGTATGACACCCACAACCTGTGATTTTTTAAAGCTTTATTAGACAGTAACTTATACTGAATATGTTACTTAATAGGCAGCCAATGTAGAGACTTAAGCATATATGCTCAGATATATACTTAGGAGTGATATGCTACCAAGGTCTAGTTGGAGTTAGTCTAGCTGCACAGTTTTGGACACAGATTCTATGAAAATCCTACCTTAACTGCTGATTAAATTGTTGGCCGGTTCCAAATCAAAAACCAGCACATGAAATTAAAGTGATAAAGTGACTAAGAATTTGTCACTTAGTATAAAAAAGTCACTGAGAAAAACTGCAGAATCTCACAAGTCCACTACAAGCTTAAGATATTTGAACAGAAACCGGAGATCTCCTGCAGGTATCCAGTGCTCCTCTGTTCCCCTATAATGTGCTTATGACATGTCTAAAGTTTACCATGCAAGATAAAGACCAAAACAGTGTGTGTGTGTGTGTGTGTGTGTGTGTGTGTCTTAAACATTTTTCAAAAAGATAACTGTCTATGCCCCTCTATGATGAACAATTTCCTGCATCCCGGCCTATGATGAGCACCAAACCATAAGGAAAGGCCAACGTGAAGAGAGCAGAAGAACATTTCAGTAAGACGAAACAGTGGCTGAACTTCTCAAACGCGAGAGGAAACTTGAGAAAAAGGCGAGGCAAAAAAGTAGAAGGACTACAGTACAGATGAAAACAGAAGGCACTTTGTAAAGGAAAATTATGTATTGCCACTAGGAAGGCAACCAGACTGCAAAAGGTCTGTTCCCAGTATATTCAAGATCACAAAATTAAAGCCAGGTAAAATCCAGATGACCAAACTTCATAAGAAAAGCAACAGGGATTGAAATGGACAGCCTGGCCTCTTCAGCCAGTTCACCTTTACTCCAATAACGTGTTACAGCTCTAACCTGACATGCGAAAGAGGAAGACAAATGAAGCCAATGGAAATATGTGCAGCAGAACGATTAAGATTATTGCTTGCGGAAGCAGAGTATAATTTGTAAACACTGGACTGAAGTAGTAACAGCAAAACAAAACCCTGAAAAAGGATTCAGCCCCTTTCTGTGGTTTTATGGCCAGATGATACCAGAATAAACATCTATCAAAGTGATGGAAAGGCTAAACTGTGGAGAAAAACAGGAACAGCAAATGACCATAAGCATAGCACGTCATCAATAAAGCAGAGTGGAGGCAGTATCATGGCTTGGGCATATATGGCTGCTTCCAGGACAGGCTCAATGGTCTTTACTGACGATTGAATTAAAGATGTCAGCAGCAGGATGAATTCAGAGATATACAAACAGATCTTGTCTGCAAGCCCAATAAGTCTGGTGCCAGTTCATTATGCAGCAGGACAAAGACCTGAAACATACTGCACGCTTAACACAAGAGTTCATCAGTGGACCATTTAAACTGACCAAGTCCATCACCAGATCTGAATCTAATTGAGCATGCATTTCATTTGTTCAAAAGGACACCGAAGGCAGAAAGCCTGACCAACAAGCATCAATTTAAAGAGACTGCAGTTAAAGCCTGGCAAAGCTTCCCAAGTGAAGAAACAAAACGTTTGGTGATGTCAATGGGACAGAAGCTTGATGCAGTTATTGCAGGCTTGGGATTTGCTACACAAACTGAATTTTGCTTTAAGTTAAGTGTCCCAATACTTATGGTCACCTAAGTTTGGAGGGAGTGTACACAACATATGCTTTTGTTGAAAAATGATTGTGTTTGCAAAATAAATCCCAAAAATAAAAGGTGACCTTCTGAACTCTTGACTCAGAATAATTTGTTTAATGTGAATTTAAATTTCATGTGTATACAACAGGGAAACACCAGTTTTAGGTTTTTGTACTTTTGGAGGGCACTGCATACCTTGTATGTTTTTTCAAAGGAATTTACATCTCAGTTCTTAACTGTCTAATTGCATTTATTAAATTACCATCTCTTCTGCAATATGATGGGTTTCCTCAAACCTGCTTCTAGACGGCCAGTGTCTCGATAGGTTTTGAATCCATCTGGACTCATAATAACCTGAATCAGATCATTATTGTGTTAACTGTACTGGTTTAACAGTTTGTCCCTGTAGAAATACTAGCCTTCCAGTATTGGGACTGGGGACACCTGATTTAAGACATATGAGTGCAAGAAGCTTCGTATATAAAATTTACATGATACCTATACCTGACAGCTAAAGAGGAGTATATAAACAGCTTGTAAAATCTGCTTTTTGACAAATGACAATACAAGAAAGAGGTTAACGGATTCAGCTCTGTCTTGGAAGAAGCCAGTGCACAAAACAGAAACTAATACAGTACATTGTAACTACAGCTCGTTGTAACACAGGCTCATTGAAATAACATTTTTATTGTTACCACAGTTAGACTTAAAACACCTATTTACGGGGCTTCCTGAATGCATCCAGCGTTAAAGGCACTTGACTGAGTGCAGGCTGAGCTCTGTGATCGCAGGTTCGAGCCTGGGTCATGCCATTATCCTACTGTGACTGGGATTTCCCGAGTAGCAGCTTGTTATCATGTCTCCTTCATTCCGCCACGAGGTGTGAGGTGGCCAGTGGCCGGTTCGTTCGATAGTTAACAGTTAACTCAGATCCAAGGATCTCATCCAGCCTTTTCTCGAAAGAAGCCAGACACAAAACTAAAACAATAAACTGTATCTCCTGCTACGTCACTGCACATTTTACAGACACCTCAAATAAGTGGTGTTTTTTTTTTTAGAACAAATGTACATTAACATCTACAGACTCTCTCTCCGCTCGTAGTCCAAGCCTCTTCAGACGTCCCCTTGGCTAGCCTCCCTGCTTCACCGACTGACCCACACCTGTGATCTTAATATAGCAGGACTCTGTGTCTCGCTATATCACATGTCACTCCATCTCACCAGACTCTGAGCTGCGCTATACTTAGATCACAGGTCCTTGAAAAACAATGAAGCTGATCTCTAGTAAGATGGATTTTAATTAGTCCTCGAGATGTTGTATACAGGCCGCAATCACAATCATTTAAACCATGAAGAGTCTGGCCTTCACTTGACTTGTGAATGCTCCTTGCTCCTTCCACCTGCCCACTGGGATGTGTTGGCTTCTCTTTAGATATCGCCGCTTTGACCTGCTGCCTTCCATCACTCCGACCTCTCTATTGCTACCTCTCTTCACCCACACCTGGGGTGGCACTGGATTCCTAGAAGGATCGGGACTGTTCCGTCTCTCCAAACACCCTCTGCCCTCTATCCCCTCCCGCCCCCCCCCGCAAGATCCACTTGTCCAGGCTGAGCCTTTGCAGCTTGTACTGCAGGCGTATCTGTATTGGCCCACTGAGGACTAGAAAGCATTGAGAAAATGAGCTAATTCCCCCCACCACCGGTCCTCAGCTGGAGGAAAACAAAACTAGAAGAAACAGGGAGCACCTGTACAGGGGATCTCGTCATTAGCAATACAATTTCTCGAACTAAACAGATATATGCAATAATAGTCCATTTTTCATATTAAACTGGGGGAAATAATTCGTTTCTACTCCCTTTTTTATGGTTTGATAACATGAATGTTAGTTGGCCTGAAGAGGAAGAAAGGAGGAAGAATTAAATATCTGGAAAGGGTCTGTGCTGATGCAGCAGGTCAGCGTTTTGCAACGAGATATACCCCTCGGAACAAAGGAAACCCACATCGTCTCAGACCTACACTTCCGCTATTGAGGTTATGCGTAGAAAACAGACAAACTACCTACATCATGTTGGAAAGCATGGTTATTTATATGAAGAATACGTTTCAGATGGACCCGACTTCGTGTCGAGAAAGCGATCTCTAGAGACGGGGTCGTCTGAAGAAACCCCACACGAAATGACAAGCAGACCTGATCGACTGCACAGCTGATACTGAAAAGATGGATCGCTGTCCTGCTACTTTATTGGGCTGCTCCGGTGTGACTACGCAAATCTGCAGTACGAAGCGAGTGCCCGGTCTCATCTGCAGCAACGTGACGGGTAAACCGGCCGCTAAAAAAAACCCCAAACATCATGAATCAATTAATCACACGATTAAAATGATTTAGTGTATTTTTTTCCCAAATAAGGGACTTTTCCGGACCTCATCTGTATCGAACAGAGGCACTGTGAAGACTAGCTATACTTCTGTTCTTTAGTGAATCTATAGTGAAAAAAATAAAGAAAATAACGATGAAGTCGACGTACGTATTGTACAAAGGGCGCAATTTCAAAACAACCTGCTCGGGGCAACTGATCGCTGACAACAAATCTAGAACAAAAAATGTGTATACTTATCACGGTATATAAGGTTTATATAATCTATAAATCGTCTAGTTATGGATCGTTGCTCGTAGTTTGTTAATTACATGGTAGTTAGATACGGCTACAGTAGTTGCCATGGCTTAAAACGAGGCCCCCGGTCCTTCAAAGGATAGGGTGCCGTTGTATTCGTTTTAAAAAAAAAACAGGTCTCGATGCTCTTTTCACTTTACACATTTGCGATTCATCCAAAGATATGGAAACCCGTAAACCGCTAATATTTCTAGCTAGGTTTATCTGTCCTTACCACCAGATCCAGTCCAACTGCACCTTTCTCACCCCGCAGTCCGTCTCGGTCGGGAGGAAAGCCCTTCCTGAGAAGAGACATCCACTTCCGGGTGAGCGCACGAGTTACGGGAAGACGCGCCTCGGGCGGCGCCTGGACCGTGTGACCCCTCTTCCGAGCCCACAATCGCAAGAAACGAGTCAAACTGGACCCTCGTTTCGCACACGGCTTCGGCCTGACCCATGCACATTAACTACGGAGTACAGTTTTGTTTTTTCCTCGAGGTTTACAGGTGTCGCACAGGGTTGATAACTCATTAAAATGGTCTAATTAAAAAACTAGGACATTTCAACGAATCGACAGAGGGGGGCTAATAGGATTTTTATGTGAACTTGTTCATCATTGTGTGGTTTCACCCTATGAGGCATTCTTAATTAATCTGTGTACTCGGTGACATTTTATCTGTCACCGACATAGATTTTTCAATAATTTATTATTATTGTTGTTATTATTATGATTCTTACTATTATTTAATTATTATAACTAAAACCTTTTAAATAATTTTTAATCAAAATTCGAATACTTAAATTACGTAGTTAATTTTAAACTATAAACTTCTATGGGAACACATAATGCCATTTCAATATTAATGGACGTACAAAAACTGTACTTTAGTTCAGACCGTAACTGTATTTTATTATATCGCTATAATATATTTACCATAAAATACTTATCATTACTGTTCAATATTGTTCATTATCATGAACAGATATCAATCATCCTTTACCCTAAAGGATTCTGTAGTTTGGTTTAAGACAGGTGGTTATCTGTGATATCCACAAGTATGGCCAAAGGATTTTCCATACAATCAAATTATTTTATACTTAAAGTTTTATTATTAGATTTTTCATTCTTTTTGTTTTATAATACAGACTCTGTATATCTGACCTGAAAAATCGACTTGACTGGTTTGTCTTTCTTCACTTCCACTTTCTAAGCCCCTGTGAAATATATATTTTTTTGCCTTTGCATTTTGTATAGCGCTTTTGATGCCAAAGGTTTTACAGGGGACCCACAAGATTCAGTACTGAAGTGCAGATCCACCTACAGTAGGTGAGGCACAGCAGATAAGACTGAGAATAAGAATCCACTGACAGAATTTAGGGGGACATTTACAGAAACTAAGACTCTGTGAAGGTTCAAATAATTGAGCCAGGAACAACTCAATTCACACCTTTCCTTAGAGAAGTGTAATATCTAACCGGTCTACATGCGCCATTTCCAACATCAAAAGTAACTGTGTGCATTAAACCGAGCCTGAACCGTGGCCAGTCATCAATTTAGTGATCTGAGATACGAGGTGAGCAACCAAAACGAGAACAACACCACAACGCCCAACTCCAAAATTTTACTTCCATAAATTCACGTACTGCGGAACTCAAGTTGCTGGGGTGTGTGTTTCCGGGAGCAAATACAGAGTGGCGTACCAGTACTACTGGATACGTTTCCTTCCTGGCTTCATGCAGCCAATGGTTGCAGGTGCTCTGTAGCGTTATTGCTCGGTTTAGAAGGGAATGTCAGTTGATAGCAGAAAATGTTAAGATTTTTGTTAGAAGGCACTAATGGCCTGCAGCGGTTCTCCGGACTGCGCCAGCTTGCCGCAGGATGCAGTCGTGTTGGATCGGGGCGATTGCCGGCCAGTCGCTGCCTGGGCTCTGTGCGTTTGTGCGGCGGGGTCGCGTCCGCAGTCTTCTCAAGACGCCAAGGGGCTGTGCTGGGAGCAGTAGGAAGGTCACTCGTTAGCAATCGCGGAGTGGAAGAGGTAAACCCCATTTAACTAGCTGGTAGATGTGCTCTTTCCAGGTAACAAAACTGTGCACATACGCGCAAAGTGGCAATGATAGGACAACCACAATTTTGTCCGCTCTTGATATCCTGTATTCTGTTAAGAAAACCATTTGGTATTTTAAATGAGTGGTTTCTGTTTTTTTTTTTAAATTGTCATTTTATGTTCACTGAGAATATAAATTATTTGAAGCCCTGTAAATGATGTGAAATTATTTTAACTGTCACACTTGAAAGCAAGCAAGAGACATTCGTTTAGCCTGGAAGCCCTTTTCCTGTGCTTCATGTGTATGCATTTTGTTTTAAATAATCAAACTCGTTTAAAAAACCGTTTCGATTATTAATATGTTTGTCTAGGTGTCTTTGAAGTACCAGAAACGTTTGCACTCCACCATCACTGCTGCAAAACCAGCTGATGAAGGAACACTTATATATACTGGAAATCTTGCAAAAGCTGTGCTAGGTAATCTTTTCTTGTATATCTTTTTAACAGGATTTCTTATGTGTATGGTAGTAGAGTATTTGATTTGAAAGCTGCTGTTATTTTGTCCACAGGGTTTCAATTAAGAGTTCTGTATGAGAAACAGTATTAAAACAACAAAATACAAACAAGTGTGTACACAGTGCATCTCTTTCCTCGGATATTGTTGTCAACTGTTAGAGCATAGCACTAGACCTACGCTTGGTTTAATGTTTACATGTGTGGTTTCAGAACACTGGTATTCAAACAAAAGAATACTAAAAATCTAAATCCTAATACTAGCTGCATGAGCACATTTGACCACATAATAGACTGTTCTAGTTTCTTCACTATGTTGGTAACTTCCTTACACAATTTCAGCATGTGGTTTATGTACAGTCATGCTTGAAAGTTTGTGAACCCTTCAAGATGGTCATTATTTTAGATATAATATGAACCTGAACCCTTAATGAATATATAGAATGAATATCCTAAATAAAGACTTCCCACACATAAAAAGGGATTTGAACTTATTGATTATTAGACTGATATTTAACAAATCACCAGATATTCTTGTCTGCAAAAGTAAATTTTCAGTCAGTAACTTGTGGCGCCTCTTTTAGCAGCAGTAACTTCACACAGTCGCCTCCTATAACCAATTATCAGTCTCTGACATCTTGCTGGAGGGATTTTTTCCCACTCCTCTTTACAAAACTCCGCCAGCTCTATGAGGTTTGAAGGATGTCTTGCATGAACAGCCCTCTTCAGGTCCTGCCACAGCATTTCAGTAGGATTCAGGTCAGGGCTTTGGCTTGGCCATTCCGGGACACGGAACCTCTTCTTCCAAAGCCATTCTTTAGTGGACCTACTTGAATGTTTAGGACAAGGACACCCACATCACCATGCTTTACAGTAGGGATAAGGTTTTGTTGGTAGTAGGCTGTTTTGGCTCTTCGCCAAACATTGGCCCCTCTTGTTTTACCCAAATAGTTCAATTTTGGACTCATCTGTCCAGAGAACAGACTTCCAGAACACCTGGACAAACCTGAAGAGGTCTCTGGCAAATTTCAGATGGGCAGCTTTGTTCTTTTTTGATAGAAGAGGCTTCTTCCTGGTGACCCTTCCATTGATTACATTTCTGTTCAGGGTTCTTTTTATTGTTGAGCTATGCACCACTGCTCCAGAGGCAGCTAGAGAGGCTTGTAGATCTCTGGATGTTATTTTAGGATCACCCTTTACTTCTTTTATTGTTCTCCTTGTGGCCCTGGGTGAAATTTTAGGTGGACATCCACTTCTTGACACGGTTGCCAGTGTTTTAAATGCCCTCCACTTGTATACTATTTGCCTAGCAGTGGAGTCATGGATTTCGAATCTTTTCAAAATGGCTTTATAACCTTGTCCAGATTGATGAGCATCCACTACTTTTTTCCCTCAGTTCCGCTGATGTTTCCTTAGTTCGAGGCATGATGCTAGACTCGCAGGAAGAGTAACTCACTTGCTTTCTTGCAATAATTTATGTTTGCTCCTCCCTAATATCATTTCAGATCTTCAGTTTCATTGGTTATCTCGGTTAATTGGTTTACACTGTCATTGACCCACCTGAACCAGCTTTGCCTTGATGTATGTCATAGAACTTCACTTATTTTTGCACCTTCACAATTTCTGTATATTCCGTACATTTTCTGTCAAACTCTCAAATTGGTGAATGATTATACTTATTTCAGTTAGGAAGTGACGAACTCTGATTAAATATGCATTTTGTGGTTAAAAAAAAAACAAAATATTTCAAATTATGCAATGGGTTCACAAACATTCAAGCATGACTGTATTTTCTGCAGGAAGTCACAGTTCGTGCTTATTTTGGTTGTAGAGTCCCAGTACAGCCAAAGCTGCTTTAACAAGCTTGGAGATTCAGGTGTGTTGTTACAGTTGCTGTTTTAAAGACATGGAACTTGTCTTTCCAGGGGTGAAATTCTTTTCCTACTCCACCACCATGTTCAGCCTGTGCGTGATGCCTTACGTCTTCCTGAAAACGGGCACCGGAGTTCAGGGTCTGGCTTTGCAAGTGGCATTTTGCAGCATCGTGGGCGTCTTCACTTTTTTAACGCCCGTCCTGTTGCACTTGATCACCAGAGGCTATGTGGTGCGCTTGTACCACAACGCGGACACTGACACCTACACCGCCGTCACCTACAGCGCCCTCCTCCTTGAGAAGAAGACTGTGTTCCACCAGCAGGAGGTGAAGATTCCCAGTGTGAGCAGGATGTTCACATCCTTCTATGCCAATCAGAAGTCACTGCTGGTGAATCCTATGAGTTTCCCATTACCACATGACTACAACCACCTAATGGGTTATGACAAGCCCTTTATGTTTGACATGGATGAGCTACCTGACCAGGATAAAGGAAAACAGAGTTGAGAGATAATAAAAGTGTAACGAGGGAGAGTTATTTTTTTAAAGACTGCAATACATTGCAATACATACATTTTTTCTTCTCGCTTTACGAAAGATGCCAAAGTATGTTCAGTTTGGAGCTCTTGTGTTGCGGTCTCTGGAGTGAAGGTTTGAGCCAGACGTCTCTGGTTCTCGGGTTTATTTAGGAAGTTGTTCTGTGGGTTTGTTTACCCTTTTTTGAACGAAAAAAAAATCTTATGACTGGGTCATATCAACCATGTTTTATTCTGATTTCAGAGGTAAAATATCATTTTTTTAAAAGAGCAAAGAGAAGATTGCACATTGATTACTTAGTATTAGAAAAAAAATAAATTTAAGCAGCAGCTTGCACCTTAAATGCAATTTAAGTGCAGCTGGTAAAGCAGGATTTTTATCTTTAAATGAAAAATGACCTCACCCATTACTTTGGCCTGTAATGAAAGGCGGTGTACTTGTCCCTCTCCTTTCAAAGTACTGTATTTACTTTGTACATGTAACATACCTGAAATGACCAATTAATGTGTGAACTAATAAAACTGATAATTCCTAGTTGTCAACACTATTTGTAAACTTTACCTAGTGTACGGCCACATTTGAATTAAGCTGAGCTAGATACATTCTGTGTAAAGTGGCTTTTGTATAGGCTGAAGCAAAAATACTGATTTTATGTTGTTATTTATGTACAGTGAACTATAAACATGCCTCTTAAAAGAAGGAAAAAGCACTTTTATGTGAAAATATCCTGCAGACCTTTATAATCCCTAATGTCCTTTGGTTATGCTGTAGATTGAAATGATATAGCCTCAGATCTTTTATTTAAACAAACCATTATCTAAAGTGGAATCAGAATTACCAAGTTACGGTTATACAGTCTGTAAATGAATGTATTGGGATTATGTTTAATGAGAAAAACATTGTGCTTTCAAAATGAGATTGCTATATCAGGGGAAGGGCTTCACGTACTGAACTCTCTAGATGCATACTGGTCTAAAATACAGGGAAGCTGTAGTGTTTTAGGTGACAGGTGAAGGGAAGTGAAATTCAGAAATGCAGAAGCCAGCACCACAGAGAAGATTCTGTTGACTTACTACTCTTGCTAAAATGTTTTGGATTCTGATTATCTTTATCATAATTCTCCCTTTTGTAAGAGAGGCTTTTAATGTGCTCTTCAGAAGTCAGTGAGATTTGGTTCTCTTATATGGGTTTTGATATTTCATTTTAATTCCTTTTACCATCTGAGTGTCTTTGTGCACAAAAAATGTATTTTTCAAAAGTAACATTGTTCCACCCTTGGGTTGCATAATCCATTCTTCTTAAATGTCCCCTTTTCACCACCTGACGTGCTGTCTAGTGGGGCTGCTAGTGAATAAAGGCCACATAACTCTTAATTGGGGGCTGTGCTTCACTGCACCTGGGATATAGGCAGGCGAGCTGGGGGACAGTAGTGCAGGCACAGGACAAGGAGAGCCACCGGTGTGTGGAGCTGTGCTTAGTTCCAGGGGTCTGGAATACATGGGATTGTTACAATACAAGATAGTTGCCAGATACCAGAGACCAGTCAGGACGGTCATCCAGAGGACACCTCTATTACCAGGCTGAACAGGACACACGATCGTTGGGGGGGGGGTCTTGTCCAGAGACCAGACCAGGCTGGATTGCATAGCTGAGCTCTCTCCCAGGCGGACTGGAAACTAGTAACAGGAAAGGCTCCGCCAGGATGGTGGGAGGTGAAGTAATGTGAACGTCAAAGCCGGATCGCCGAGTGGAGAGTCTGAGCGTGGTTTAAAAACCCCAGAGCACCTGCTACCAAGAGAGTCCTCTCTGCTGGCAGGAGCTCTGTCTCAACCGCCTCCATGCAATCAGGGCAGAGCAAAGGAAGTATATAATTCCTGCATGTACTTGATCTTCTGCTTGGTCTCTAGAAAATAAGAGTCATGTTACAAGAGGTCTTGGTTGGCTCATTATATAAAGCCTTGGGCTTGGTGGGGTCCACTATTGTCATCATGTCACTGGTTGACTGTATCCAGGATTCCTCAAGCAGTGCTAGGGCAGGAGATAGTCAGCTCTCTCGACACAACACCAAGAGGTCTCCCATCCAGGTACTGACTAGGCTCAACCATGTTTAGCTTCAGTAGATAGCCAGTTGAGAGCTGCACAGTGATATAGCTGCTGGCTAGGTGTTCAGATGTAAAATTGGCTAATAGGCATTTCCTATTCCTATTAGACATTCAGTGAGTTGCTAATTGACCCAGCTGTTTCTTGAAAGAAGTCAGGGTATCGACTTCAACACCATGTCAAGGTAGTTTGTACCATTCACCCACAACTGCAAGCTACTGTATATAATCACCATTTAAAAACTTCCAGATTATTTTATGGACTTTTAATGTTATCAAAATGATAAAAGGGTTGTATTTCTTCTATGAAGCATACCTATAGTGAATCAGGTATCATGAAAAGAGATTTAGAGCTAAAGTTTTCTTTCTGCTTTTCTTCCATCCCTTTCAGAGTCTTTAAATATATATATTTTTTTATTTGAAATACCAGTTCTTATCTGTATCCATTTGATAAGAATGTAATAATGCAGGAAAAAGTGGACCATTGTTCTGGTGACACAGACAAGAAGTTACAGCAAATGAATATGAGAAAAGTTGCAAATGAAAGGTGGGCCACTGGGCCAGTTTTGTGTATTAGGTTGCTAGTAACTTTTAAATGTTGATCACGTTCAAGCGTAAAAGGCCTTTTGTGATGATTGTAGTCCTTCCCCCTTAAGGGCGCTCCGGCTGTTTCACTTCTGAGTTGATTTAGTGCACCTGCCCCCTGTTCCAGCCCACCTTAAAAGCCAGACACTCACTCTGTTCCGGGCTCTGCATCGGTTTCTGTAACAGGCGAGTCTGGGACCTGTAGCGTCTGGTCCTGTTCCCCCCTTTTCCCCCCGACCCTCCACCGGATACTGCTCTGGTTTTTAATCCCGTTTGTCTTCATCTCGGATGGACCGCCCTTCTTTGGACTTTTGCCTTGTCTTGGATTTCCCATTGGACTCTGTTTTGGATTGTTTGCCCCGGAGTCACCCCCCTGAACACCTGCGCACCATGGACACGCCCTCTGTTTTCATTCCCGACTCCTGCCTGCTTTTTTCCCCGTGTTTTCTTCACTTTACCCCAGATTGTGTTGTCTGCATAGGGTCCCGAAAGAACGCTTCCGTTACACCTGTGTCCTGAACAACACGTTTTCCATTTGTGCCCTCTGGTATATGACCTCTGGGTCATATAGCAGTTCTTCACTCGCATTTTCATGTAGCAGTAATGTGATCAGCATGGGTAAGAGCAAATTAAAAAAAAGATGGAAGGATGTGATCATGGCACATGTCAAAATATAAAATTCAAATGAACCGTAAGAGATTTGTTTTTGTGTTCTCTGGGCAAATTCCATGCAGAAAATATAAATTAAAGAAAAATATATACAGTGTTTCTGGCTGTAGAACCTTCTTGAGGTACAGTATGAAAGCATACTGTATGATTACCTGAAGGAGGCTCCACAGTCAAAACGTTTTCTCTTCTTTTTGTTTTTCAGTTTGGAATTAAACTCAACATTTTAAACAGTCCCCTTTCCTAGACAACCTATTCTTCAGTGTATTTATAATCACAGATGACTCGCTTCATTCTCAAGTATTTTGCTCTTATACTTAACAATGATCTTGAGTGCCTGAATTGCAAGGCTTCTGTCTTCTCTCTTTGATCGTGGTTTTAAAATTGTAAATTTGTAGGATATTGCCTAAAACGTAAAGAGACCCCAGAGAGCAGTGTCATTCTAAACCGATCTCTTCTGACAGTTCAAACAAGATAGTACTTCTGTATTTCAGAGTTTGATCAGCAATACACAGCAACTATTGCCACTTTTGAAAGACAAAATAATGACAGATTATTTGCATTCTAATGACAACTTCGATTGTGCTGTAAATGATGCAACTATGCTGTAAGGAATTTTCCTTAAATGTGCAGCCGTGAGTCAGTACCACTTGCTACAGTTTTAATGAAATGTCATATGTAAGTACCTAAAAGCTTTGCAGAAATAAGCTTCTGTTTATTAAGAAGTAAGTACAATATGCACTAAGCAGAAAGTAAAGTAAATTATGCAATGTGAATTAAGCAAGATGTCCAAGGGTTTGAAAAATTTAACAAAAAAGTTTCAAAAGCTTCAAAACTAAGTAATGATGGCTAGATTTCAGGTTTTGGTTGCCCATTTTAAATGCATTGTACTCTAACAAAAAATAGAAGAGAAATACTAATTTGCTACTTGTTTTTTTCAGTTACTCAAAAATGTAATTCTATGTGTAAGGTTTTTTTTAAAAAACCTTCTGAAATTCACTGGAGGTTATTTCTGACAGAAAGCAATTAACTATGGCATTGAACCAGAAAAGTAAAGGCAGTCAATTGAAGTAAAATAATTTACCCTGAATGGGCTAACAAGTTGGACAGGAAAATAATAGATTTTGGCTGAGAAAATGCGCCCTGTTATGACTGTGACATTGTAATTATCAGATCTGTGCAAACACAGTAAGCTGTAAGGAATGAGACAAAGTGGTGGGCTGTTATTACAGCCCTGTCTGCTCTGTGGCCTGTGCATGCCTCTTTGGCTTCTGCTTGTTGAAGCAAATAAGTAGCGCTCTCCAACAGTTAATCACACATGCTCTAATACCAGGGTGCCAAATTGAGGGATACCCTTATAAGCTTCTCATTAAACAGAAGACAAGTGTCAAGAGTTTTTCTGATCTCTGACAGTTGGTGTAAAATAACTAAATGTCCCCCAGTTTTAAACAGTGATATTCTCATCACAATGAATAATAATAATTCAAAATGTTCTGATCACTAAAATACAAAGGCAGTGTGTTTCCTTTTTCACAATGACAGGACCTAGGTTCTTTCTAGAAAACAGCATTTGTTTTCCACTATCTAATCTAATCCTTTCTTACCAGTTTCATTGTTAAATTGCAATATGAGCATAATACCTATTGCTGGTGACAAGGAATACTGCAGAGCATGAGCAAATGTCTACACCCATGTGACAGTAAAAATAGTACATAGACATCTTCAAAACGTTTGCTATTGAAAGCAGCCAAAATACTATAAATGAAACGGGTAATGGGGTACTAACTTTAGTACCAATTCAATCTCTAAGAATACACCACAGTCCTTGGAAGAACATGCAACTATGAAGTTTTCATACTCTGTTATACAGAGCTCAAGACAGTGAAGCTAAGTTTTCAGGTAACAAAGCCTGTAATCTGTAGGATGAGCAACTTACTTCATAAGGTAAGCTCCATACTCATATTTGTGAACAAAGGTTTTGTATATATGTTAATGATAGTATGTTAATTAGTTCAGCATATGATTTGAATTGTCCCCTCAAATGATTAACATAATTTCTTACCGTCATTCAGCTCTCGTTCAAGTATTCTACATATTGGGAGCACTACACCCCCATGTAATGTATCACCCATCCATAAAAGAGTGACAAAACTGAGTATACACTAAAAAGTCCAACTTCTATTACATGTATA